CTGTCAGGGCCACTCCATATTCTGGGGCACATGGAGAGGGGTGAAGCACTGGACATACCTACCGGGGCTTTCCGTTGAAGCCAGGCTTCTGATTGCCATTTCAGTCCATTTCAGTGCCTGGGGTTCTGGGAAGGTTGTTCTTCATTTTTCTTTTTTTAATGACCTCCAAACCAGATAAAGACAAACAATGATGTTTAATTTTTAATAATTTTATTGTGTGCATTTTGTAGAAAATTTAGAATATACATATATATTAGTACAATAAAGGAAATAGGGTGTCGCCATTTCATATTTGCACTATGAACACTGCAGCGCATTTCCTTCTGATCCTGTGTGTGTATGTATGTGTGTGTTTTGTTGGTTTGTTTTTGTTTTTAAAAAAGGGGATGTCTAAGTGAATAATTTTGTGAACTCCTTTTTAATGATTTGTTTATTTATTTTTAGAATTTATCTTTATTGTTGAAAGTATTACAGTTGTCCATTTTTCCCCCATTGACCCCTCCACCCTGCTCTGGCCCCCTCCCCAGTCCTTCGCTATATTACTGTCTGTCCATGGGTTATGCATATATGCATATAAGTTATTTGGTTAATCTCTTCCCACCCCCCTCTTCCCTCTGAACAATTTATGACAAATATTTTCCAAACAACATTTAGTTCTTAAAAGAAGTGGGCACACTATTTTTCACCATCATCATTAATCTGCAAATAACACCATTCCAGATGAATGTCTCTCTGAATTGTCATAAATCACGTTAGAGTATTCATCAAAAGAAACACTGAAATCTCTCTCTCCACAGAGATGCAACGTTGCCAACACAGACTCTTATCCGAAATACTAAAACTCACTGGCCCTTCTGACTTTAGCTAAAGCAAGCACTGTATTCTTGTTTGCTTGACCTTAAGCTCCCTCAGAACCTCGAGTCTGCCCAGCATGTGGGGCCATCTGGCCTGCAAAGGGTCCCCCAAAATGTCCTATTTACTGCTCCTTCTCTCCCAAGGGTGCCTCTGGCTTTCTGCAGAGTCATTCTTAAATAACATCCAGAGGGACTAGTTCCCTATAAGGCAACATTCATGTAACTATATTTGTCCATTTTTACTGGAGACACTGGGTTATTGAATTAGTATTGAATGTCCATTAAAGGCTTGTGCTGCCAAGGAGAAAGATGCACAGTTTAAATCTGAGAAAAGGAACACTCATTGGGATCTAGAGTTGGGTGGCAGCTATTTGGTCAGCCCCAGTATTTGGTATTCATTGGTCTGCAGCATTGTTCTGTAACAATGGCACACTCCCATTGAAGAACCCTCAGGGAAAACTGTAATCATTGGAGGAGAAGCAGTATGGCTTCCTTGAAAAAAATTTCACTTTTGGAACAGAAAATGGTGTGCAGCACACCTCAGTCACTTGTCTTTTGTTCTCTGAGTTGACCTTGCACCAAATTCAGACCAACTAGAGTTTGGCCAAGATTTCCATCTAGGAAGCAGAGTGGTTAGGACCTGTCAGGGGCTGCCAGGCCAGCTGCAGGTGCCTGAGACCAATGTTCACATTGGAATTTTATGCAGTGTTGTTTACTTATTTTCTTTCTTCTGCAGTCAATATAGATATCCATTCTCAATTGCATACAATTTTTAAAAACATTCTGAAAGGTGGATGCAGAGGAAATGAAGACAAAGTCATTGTTTCCTGAGAGCTAGAAATCACAGTGTACTATAAGCAGATCTGAAATCTCATCCACATTGGCAAGAGATGAAGAGAATCTTGTATTAAATTCTTATGACATTCCCCTTTCCTGGGTTGTGAAAGGAAAGTAAAAGGGAGGGATACTCAAACTTCACTGGGACATTTAGTAAAAATCCAGCTAAGACATGGTTCAATGATTGCTACTAGAAGAATCTGCATATATATTTGTCTGTAAAAGTCTTCCTATTTAAGGGCAATCATGAGGCTGCAATGGTTTTTCAACCTCTAACCCCTATTCTTTTATCATTAAGTTATTTATAAGTAAGTACTGCCATCCAATAGGCAAATTCCAGGCGTCTAAGCATTAAGAGTTAAATTTTTAAGTAGGACATGCGAGCTGAAGTACATTCATTGATTTTATAGATAAAAATCCATAGGCACTAGTGGCAATCTCTTAGCCAATTGATTGTACTTTGTTATGCTAGTTTTCACACTGAAGTACACTGAAGATCCAAGTAACACTATCAATATAAGTCAGAGGGAAGAAAAGCTAGAAATCATAGCTTTCAACTATAAAAATATTGGGTTCAAGACCTGGCACAAAAATGAGAGAAAATAAAACAAAATTTCATTTTTACAGAGCAGGTCAGGGTCAAGGGCACTCCCATTAAAAATAATATTCTATAAACATGGAAATCAGCTCGCTGTTCTCAGGAAATGTGAGAGCGAGGAAGAAACTTACAGATGACATTTCTACTGGGTAACAAATGCTGACCACTGAGGAAATACATCAGCAATTGCCCAACACAAAAAAGGAGAAAAGGAAACTCTGGAAGAGAAACGCTCATCTCCAGATAGAAACCTGAGCTGTCCCTGGAAACTGAGGAAAGGGGAAGTGACTGGGAAGCTTGAGGTGAGAAGGAAATCTGAGGTTGACCACACCCATCTGATGGTGTGAGGGTCAAAGAAGCCGAGGACAACAGGAAACTATACAAAATGGACAAGCTCCCAAGACAGAAATCCCAAGTAATGAGAGTAATCAAGGGTGTTTAAAGGACAATTTGCTGAAGGGAAATGCCTGAGACACCTTGAGTGGAAGCAGACTTTACACTGCAGATTGGAACAGCCATTTCCATTTCATAAAGCCCACAACCCAGGAAAACTGGGTTCCATAAATTGAGATTTTCGTTACATTAAGCTTTACTACTAACTCTCCAGTTGTTTTTAGTGGTATAATATATTTGAACAATTCAGAGGTATAGAACAAGCTTATAAGATAAAAGTGAGTCAAAGGTTTGAAAATTAATTGAATACATCAATCTAACTAGTACTCAAACAAAACTGATTTTTCAGAAAAAAAATAAATTGCATATCGATTAATAAATTTAAAATTAAATGCTGTCAATTTTCAATTTTCGATGCTAATAGAAGGCAGAAATGAGAAACAAGATCCACAGAGAACTCTGAAATCTCATTTCCATTTCAATCTTTTCCCCCATTTCCATTTCAATCTTTTTATTACACTAATTTGAGTTTTTTAAAGCCTCTCTGTTTCCTTTCTTGTCATTAAATAAATACTTATTATGGGCCTCCTGTATGCTAGGGCCCTCAACAGGAGGAGAAAGAGATCAGGACCAAGGGACTGACCACAACCCTAATAATACCATAGCTGGTTTCAGTTGTTTCCTTTTACGGCCTTAGTAAAATGCATAGCATAAATTAGAATAAAAAGAAAAAAATTCCCTTAGTAAATATAGACATCCTTATCACAATTCTTCTCTAAAATAGAGTTTTCCACTAGCTCTCATTCTTAATCCTGACCTATGTATGAACAAGAAAATAGCAGCTGGGGAAAATGGAGAAAGGACAGAAACTAGGCCAAAAGCAAAAGGAAAATACAAAGAAAATTAAGACACAAATAAAAAAGCAGAGTATCATTCATTGACAAACAATATTGAGGTTAAGCCCAATCTGTCCTAGTGGATGAAAGGCTAAAAAATAGATTTATAAATGTGAATGTCGTGATGGAGAAGCCCAAGACTTACGTGGAGAGGATGTGGGAGTCAGACAGAAACGACATCCATTCCCACAAATATCCAAGAGGGAAAGGTAGCTGGAGAAATCAGTAAGCGGGGGCATTTGGCCCACATTCATTACAGAAGTGATCTCTCAGGAAGTCTACGACACAAGTTGCAGGTCAAGGCCACTCACGAGGAGCTCCTTCTACAAATCATTGTCTTTTTTACTCATTCTACAAACATTTGAGGTGCACCTACTCTATAAGCAAGGCACCCACAGAGCCTATCCAACTCAATGGTATGCAATAAATGTTTTTAGATAGTAAATAAAAGGAGAAAATAATGAATGGTCAAGCCAATGCTTCAGCAAGTCCACACGTCCTCTAGCACCGCAGTGCCTCTGCTGGGTGCTTCCTTGTCCCTTGGGTCCCTCGGCTTGTGCAGGCTTCTTGTCACCTACCCATTAATAAGGACTCTTAAATCCCAGTTGCCATAAACTTCAGGCTTTCACAGGCCACACCAACCAAGTGACACCAAGTGAATCTGGTCTATTAATTTTGAGGAATCAGAATAAAAGCAGGATGCCGAATTTGAAGAAAAGATTAATGACCTTATTCTTCATCCTATTTCTCAGGACAAAATGGAAATACAAGCATTATATTGTCAAATACCTCAGAGACAGCGGATATCTTCATTGGGTAGTTCTAGTCTCTCATAAAGAGAAGTGCCCATGACGTGGGCCCTTACACTCAGCACCACACCTTTCTGCTGCAATAAGATATGCACTATGCATGATGTGATCACTCAGGCATCCGTGACATTGGATGGGATGACACTGCAGGTCTTGACACAGCCATCCCAGCTGTCCAGTGGTATAGCACAGCCTTGTGCTAAAGTCAAATATGTGATGGGAAGGGCTGCGAAGAGAGGGTGGGGACCACAGCCTTAAGAATATCACTCAAGCACTGGCCAATGCCAACACCTGGAAAAGAGGTAGCATGAACCCAACTTCACTACAGAAACCCAAAAGGCATTCTCCCAGAATTCACTGCCTAATCAATGCTGCTCCAGAAGCCAGGTCTTAAGTAATAATAATAAACTCTTACATACTAATATGTATGTAGCTTTTTAAGCTCCCCAGGTGATTCTAATGAGCAGCCAAGCCACAGTATCACAAAAGCTTCTAGTTCTTTCTCCTCCCTTCTCCCGACCCCATCATGAAAAAAACAGCTTCTTAAAACATTTTAAAAAGTCACTAGATAAGGGTATCTGAGAGTGTCACAAGACTTGCCCAAGACTAAATGCTTAGGAACATGCTTATTGATCTGAAATAAATGGGGGAAATTGCAGAGTAAAATTAAGTGGTTGGCTAGTTCAGGCAGTGGTGAAACATGTCCCATGCCCTAATAAGAACAATATGATCTTTTGGGGGGCCCTTCCCCTAAGATTTTTTCCCCTGTAGGGGAAGAAAAAATGTTTTCCTTTATCCATCTTAAGTTCATTGGCTGAGCCGTGCAAATCAGGCTGACAAAAACCAGATTAACAAGAGAAAACCAAACAGAAGTTTATTAACACATGCACTGCACATACAAACAGGAGTTACTCAGTAGTAAGTAACCCAAAGTGGTGGTTAGAACTTGGGTTTATATAACATCCCAACAAAGAACAATACATTTTACAGAGACGTGACAAAAGAAAGGAGCTTTAGACTTTTAGGGGTGGGAAACCGTGGGAAGGTAAACATATGGGGGATACTAATGGAAGATAAGGGTTATGCTGACAAGGTTTGTAATGTAGATTCCTCCGCTGCTGTCATCTCTAGGTTGATAAGAGTCTAGAGTTGTCTCCGGTGTTTAACGATCATTTTGGCTTTCCTGGTAGGGAGGAGGAGGGCAGAGAGCTTTTCTTATGTCTGTTTATTAAATTGCATTCAGCTCAAAATAATCTTTATGCCAGAGTGGCATATTTTGGGGTGGCAAACTCTAAACTCACACCCCTTCCAGGCTGTGAACCCCCCACCAAGTTCTTCCATCTCATCACCCAGTTGATTTCCTCTTTGGCCCTTGTCATTGAGTAACTTGTAATTACTTAGTACATTAGAAGTTATTTTGATATTTTGAAAATGATTTAATTAGCTTTTCCTGTTTGCTTTTGTGCTAACAGGCCCAAGGTGACTGTCTGCCACGGGGGTGATTATATCTAATTTGTTGTAAAAGTTAACAAAGAAAAAGGACGAGGGTGGTAGTCACTTCAGACACGCAAACATAGGGTTAGATAGCAAAACAATGGTTTTACTAGCCCGACATTTGTACTGCGGATTCTCCATGTAGTAAGGGGCTGGTAACAGAGCTTGTCTGCTGTACAGAGAAGGCGCCCCTTTTCCCCTAAGGCAGGAAGTTGATGAGGCTCGTTGCTCAACGGGAGGGGGATGTAATACAGGAAAAGTTAAAGAACAAATATAAAAAACAAAAGCTGGGCAGGGCTGGGGGAGTGGACAGAAAGAAGAGAGTTGGTAGACCAGCTTTGAACCAGAGAAGGGTAGTTGCTGTAGATAAATGAAGACAGTGAGAGTAACACCAGGGGCAAATGTGGGCTCTTGCTCCCCATTCTGTTTAAGGTTCTGGAAGAGACCACCCAAGTTAGAACCTAGCTCCTGAAAATTATCCCTAAAATGTCACGGGGCTCTGAGCTTTAGCTTTTCTGAGTCACTCCCAGTTCCTATTTAATAAAATTTTGAGTTGAGAGCAAAGAAAGTTGACATTTTGGTTAGCCTGTGCAGCCTTTCTGTGGATACACGTACCATTTCTGTCGGGTTTATTGAAATATTGAAGCTAGTTTTGCAAAGTAAAACATAGTGTTTGTACCCACTCCAGTCAATATTCTGAAGGATAATAAATTCTAGGCACCCAAGCAGGAGTTGGGGGTCCTTTTCTATCAAGTAGCAACATTTCCCAAATTCCCAACCTAGTAATTATGAATACATATAAGTTTGCTTATTCATTATTCGATCATTATTTATTGAGCATTGTGATGTACCAGGTGCTGGGACAGAACTGTCCTCAAGGGTGTCACAATGCAATAGGGAAAGGTGACAATGTAAATAAAGATTATAACACCATGGTGGAGGAAAAAGGGGCCACATACTAAACCTGACAAGCACAGGGGAAGCCTGAATGGAGGGCCTGACAAACTCAGAAACCAAAAGTAACCACATGGGATGATGTGAAATTAAAACTTTCTAGCTAAAAGTGAGGCATGGCAGGTAGTCCTGTCCTAGGTCTAAGACTTCAGGACATGCACCTCAAAATATGCCATTTTGGTATGTTGATAATTTTGAATTGTAGCCACTTGAAAAACAGCAAATGCAGGGAGAGGTTTTCTCTGAACTTTGTGACTAAACGCAGATTCTCCAAAAGAAACTCAATTGTCATAGATCCCCTTCCCAGGATTTTCACCCATCAGTAAAGACTGACTCTGATCATAGGAGTCTGGAAGTAGACACCACACCCAGACAAATTTGGTCACCAATTATCATACATTCCATCTATTCTTCTAAGGGCCCATTAATCTTTCTTAGAGATCATTTAGTCTCCTCAAAGTGACTGATGTTATCCCTTCCCTTTCCCTGTTAAGATGATATTTAATCCTAAATTCTCAACTACCTTGTGGAGTTACTCATTTTCCCCTGGATATCTCCCAAGGATTCATGAGGTATACAATTAATAAACTGCTGTTTGTTTTTCTTGTGTTAATCTGTGTTTTATTACTAAGGAGGTGGGGGTGGTCTCAGCTAAGAACTCAGAAGGGTAGAGGAAAAATTATTTACCCTCCCCTGCACAAGATGACGTCATATTGGAGTAGGATGGGCTCCAAGCCAATATGACTGGTGTCCTTATAAGAGGAGAAGAGACACAGACACACACACAGGGGAGGACCCCATGTGAAGAAGTAGACACATTATAGTGGGTATTAACGTAGTTATTCGTTAGCTAGGTATTAACAAAAGAGAAGGGAGAAAACCAGCTAAGCCTGATTAAGTTGGGAAACTAGTTTCATAGATATTCCGGGGAACAACTGGTTGGTTCCCCTGGATTAATGAGGGGAGGGAGAAAGAGTGAGGGGGAATTCCTTTACTGAGATATGCACATTAACAAAAATGGTGACCGTGAAGAGAAGGAGACAAACCTGGGAAAACCTGGAGAAATGATCTGACAGAGTAAGGATGCAAGCCTGGGAAAATCCAGAAAGAGATTGGATAGTTTGAAAGAAAGCCTGCTCTCTTATAAGCCAAAGGAATTATAGGGAAACTTAACAAAGGCCTCAGTCTCTTTTTAGTGGCCACACAGGCTGAAATGCAGTGCCACTGTGGCCCAGACACCTTCCAGCTTTGGTGGCAGGCGTGCAGATAGGGAATGAGGTACAGGGAACTTAAGTAACTTGCCCAGGGTCGTCCTCGGGTATCAGGGTGATGCAGTTCTGGGCCCTGTTGACCATGCTGGGCCTGGTGGGCCCAGGTGCAGGCCTACTGCCCTAGAAGCTAGACTTCTCCCACAGCAAAATGTAGCTGAACCACCTGGTTGTTACCCCTTCCCTTTCCCTGAGACATCAGGACTGGTGTACCTGGGGGCAGTGAACACGATCTACCAGCAGAGTGCTGGGGAAGTGCCTCGGTTAGTGTGGCAGTCTTTTCAAGGGCACTCTAAAAAGTTTTGCCTCTATTACTCAAATCCTCCTATGCATGTGCCCCTAAAATTCCTTCCCCCGACACCATAGAAGAACCTATTCCAGTCTGATCTTCCTTCAGTGACAGAGGGCTAGATTTATAGTGTCACAGCCAAGGAAGACCAAAGATTGCCCGAAACCACTAGATTTTAGGAGGGTAACATGGAACTGATCCTCCCTCAGAACTTCCAATGGGAACCAACCCCACTGACACCTTGATTTGGAACTTCTAGCTTCCAGGACGGCATGAGAAAAAATTTCTGTTGTTTTAAACAGCCCATTTGTGATTTTTTACAGCAGCCCTAGGAAACTAACATCAGTACCACGTGAGGAGTGCTTCAATGGGGCATCTGCACAGTACTGGGAAGCATGGTTTTAGGGAGCAAAGACCTTCACACAGAAAGTGGGAGGCTCTGCCTGTCAGAGTGAAGCAGAAGCGGTCAGAGGCAGCAGCTGTATGCAAGATGCTAGTTCAGCCAGAATTATGTAGGAAACTGAGAAAAGACACTTCTCCATACCCAGAAACTGTTCAGTGGCTCCAAGAGGAAACCAAGCCTAGGGTGGACCAAGATGGAACTCAATCTTAAAGTGTAGGGCAAGAAGCTTTCCAACTGTGTAGATAAAGGAAATGAGGAATCCATGACAAAGCTTGAAACAGAAGATAGAACAATGATTCTCCAAGTATGCCTGAGTTGCTTTAGGCCCTAAGTAATGGGATCCCTAGGAAATGAGGCATCAGGGAGCAATGAAAATTCACATTCTGTAGATGTAGTACTCTTGGCCACTGATGTTCTGATGGAACAAAAGGGAGTGAAACGTTACTCAATCTGTTTCTCAATGAGATATTATCATCTTTATTATTACTTCCACCAAGTTGACACTTTATCTACCAAGCTGATATTTCATGAAAGGCTTTCTTAGTTGAAATGGATTCGTATCTTCTACCAGATTCCAACAATGTATAGATACCTCGGAGAATGTGTGTTTGGAATTCCAAGGGGTTTTCTAGGTAAAATCTACTCTGCCATCTTTTAAAACAAATGAGTTTGGTTGCACAAATACATTCATGCCAAACCATTTCTAAAAGAAATGCATTTTGAGCTCCATAGATCATATTCGAGTTTGTATTCTAACATTAGATGTCACTGTAAATCAGAAAGAGTAGAGGTGAAAAAGCTTGAGCTATGGTTTCACATAGCAGGAAATGTTATTTTGTTCTAATTCTGGTTTAATTGAATTATTTACGAAGGTAAATATATTTACCTTGCAGGAAAATGTTTTAAGATATAGGTAGGAGGAAACATACATTTTTCTCAGTCAGGCAATTGAGCAAGATCTTCGGCAAGTCTTGCAGAAAGCAATATATTGACATTCTATTTTTCAGGAACCCATTATCCAGGTCTGTCTTCCTTCCCCTACTACTGACTGATCAAAGTGAGGGAGAGAAGCTCCAAAGTGAGTATGGAGTTTCCCAGGTCCCTTTCAGTCCTTGCTTCCGGTACATTTGCATTTTAAGCTTTTCCTTTTTTAAAGGGTATTTCTTTCAGAAAGAGCTATTTTATTTGGCATAATGTAAAATCTCAGCACCCAGTAAGCAATATTCTCCTACGCTTATGGGTAAGGCCAGATCTGTAAATCCAGGAATAAGTGATATAAAAAGAAAGAAGCAAAACAGAAAATTTACATGCAATTAAGGGCCCGAAGTCCAAACGGCTGGTTTTGATTAACATGTACCCTTTTCCTAATGCTAATTCATTTGTTCATTTATTGGATTTCAAAACTGCACCCTATGCCCTCCAGCCTCAGCAAACAAAGACATAATTTAAAATACAACGACACAAATGTGCTATTTATTACTGTGTAAAAGAGCCATTATTACAGTGGCTTATTTTTTTCTTCAGGAAACCAGCTCTTTTCGAGTTATTTACCAGGCTGTCAATTATTACAATCATTAATAATGATAATGATAATCACTGAGAAATAGCAATGTGTTGAGGGACAAATGGAGCACAGAGCGAGCACAGACCTGACCTAGTGGAACAATGGTGATTTTGTTTCACCCCAGATTTCACAAAGTGAGAATGGAAGATATCAGGAAAGTCTTCACATACTATGCCCTCCTCATCATTTTAGTTTCAAAGCACCCCTTTTG